TGAGGTTAGATTGACCAGGCACGGAGTAAGTTTTTGGGTGCAACCCGGCACCAAGAGAATCGGAGAGGAACGCAACTCGTACTCGTTCATTGTGTGTGGGTAATACGTAATTGTTAATTAATATTCGTCCACTTCTGAGTGTACAGACAAAATAAATTCGACGGTTGGAAATTTCAATTTCAATTAATATACCTACCACGTGGAATACACAGGGGAGGAGCGTGTTCCTTTGTACATATAGATCCTTTGTCCTCCTTAAACGCGCACGCGAATCACAATGATAATCACACTAATAATGTTAGTTGTAATAACAATAATAGGTGTGTATATACAAACTTTAACCGTCCGAATGGATAAAAGCCATATATAGGTGTGCGCATAGGGGGTATCGGGTGTGCCTGATCACCCACATGAAATTTTGTAAATTAGGCTCTAAGTCTAAGAGCAAGGTCCGTATTTAAATTTATGTAGCTGAAATGAAATTTAATTGATTATAAAATATTGGGAAAAAATAAAACAATGTTTGGTAATAGAAAAATTAAACAAAACATTTCAAATATTCGTGCAAGCATTTTTTGTGGTAAAATAACAGTTGCTATTGAATACAAAAGTACAAATTGTAAGTAATTGAAGCTAACTTACAAAAATATATGAGATTCAAGGAAATCAAATTCTTTGGGACTAATATACTACAATATTAAATATAAAATTAAAATTATGTTTATATAATTATTTATACACTATACTTATTAAATATACCTATACGTTTTTTTAAGATAGGGCCCAAAAGTATTGTAGTCGCCCTCTGAAAAACAGGTGTGTGCATGTCTATCATAAAAGCATATTGTGATGTAGTGGACTTAACGGCCACGACGCAGTTAAAGCAACAAAGTATTATATTGTGTCTGTTCTCGCGTATGATATACGTCGTACGAGATAAAAACTCGCATCTTATGCCATCGCAATACAAAGTATGGGCATTGCATAAGTTTTGATGACCATTATTTCCTCTCTAAAAATGCCTTCTTTCCGTTCTCGTATTATTAAACTGGTTATAAATTACTGTCAATCGGTAAATATACATCTCTGAGCACGTGTGGCATTTGATATCCAAACCGGATTGATATTCTACACCGACCCCACTGTTAGTGTTTAATTCACGATTCAAAGCTCGTCCAGCGTGCAGCGTCCCCAAGGTTCGTTGGAAAATGCTAGTTTTTTGTGGTTACGAGTTTTGATAAAAATCAAAGTCGATCAAACTTTGTGACCGCAGCCGAAGCAAGGGTTTTAGTAAGAGACTTGTACTAAGTATAGAATACCGTTTCTGCCATTACTCATTTTCGATTAAAGTTAATAAAATTTGTTTAAGAAAATACCGTTGTAGTAAAGAGAACTTTTTTTTTACGGTTTTGCGTCACCTAAATATAATTTTGTACGGTGTGTATATATATATACATAATAGTTTTATTTTGAAAACAAAGGATACGACATCGAAATTTGCTGTTTTCTCTGAGGAAACTATTCATGCTTTGCAATAAAAAAAAAAAAAAAAAAAATGAAAACATATACAAAGTAATGTATTGGTGCGTGTGCATTCGCCGCAGTCGGACACCTGAACATTTTGAATACAACAGTATGCATATAACAGTAGCGTCTGATAAGTTCGACGCAGCAAAAAGAAATCACTGGAGGGATAATGGGGAAAGTTTGCAAGAAAAATAAACCGTTGATCTATTTAAATGGTTTTTTTTTTTCGAAAAAATGTTATAAATAGATGTCGTCACTGTGTTTTGCAAGACGTGATATATTGAATTACGCGGTGGCCTCGTGGGAGAATCGTACGTGCATTTTTTACCGAACACTAAAACAAAAACCACGACTGCTCAACGAAATACGGCATTATGCGCCGAATTTAGGTGGATACGCATGCCACGTGTGATGTCAAACGATATCACCTATGAAAACCAAAAATTGATATTATCATAGAATATTGCTTAAGAGTTACGAAAAATCTATATATTGAAATATATGTGAACGTTGGCCGTAGCATTAGTACAAAGTGCGTGTGAGAAGTCTTCAAGTGTCCTGTGATAATCTGCAGACACACAGTTTTACCATATTCGGCGAAAGTCACAGTGTTTCGTTTTATAATTTTATACTTTGTAATTTCTTATCGAATTAAATGAAAAACAGTAATGTTTTATGCGACCGGATTAACAACTTAAAACAGTAAAAATCAACTGTTATTTTTATTTTTTTTTCGAAAAATGTTATATTTATTTACATTAAATAATTCAACTAGTTTAAAGTTACAATATAATTTATTTTTCATAAACTGACATGAACCTATTAAAAAAAAAAAAAATGTGTGCGTACATATAAAACGGATATCAGTGATTTAAATTAATTTGTTTTCGTACAATGTTTTATATATGAATAATTGTATTATGTTTTGTTATTGTGACAAAAAAAAAAAAAAAATTAATTAATAAAAATAATAAAAAAATAAAAATATTTAAAATCAGTAACAATCAATTATGTCAGTGATTTACAAAATGTTGCTAGAAGTTAATTGAGTGCATTTCGGAAAATAAAAAAGTTTAAAAACTTTGCCTCAACACCAAACGTTAAAAAGTTTAAAATTATATAACTATTCTAAAGGAATGCGATCCTCGTATAAATTGGTATAAGTCGATTAAAACTATTTAACAATTTACCCATACTTGGTTTAATAGATGCTTCAGAGCAATATGAGTTATGAGAACAGATTTGAATTCGATTTGGGATCAACTTGAGTAAGGGGAGAGGACTTTTTATAATTCTGTTATCCAATTTTTATGTATACTTGTATATAGGTATACATTTGATTTGAATATTTGAAAACTTTTGAAAATCTAGATTATCATTTATATAAAAAACCGAAATGAAATGTTTAAATATTTATATAAGAGGTTCCCAGAACTATTATCACCTCGATACACCAATATCGATTGGGCCGGTTGTTCAAATATGATGTACGTAACTTTTGCTACTTAAAATGAACGTCATTTTAAACAATAGTTATTTTAACAGACTATTGTGCTCGTGTGTATAGTTACGGCCAAGCACTCGATAAAAAAGATGTAAACATTATTAGTCCCTTATACTATAGTAATATTTTTACAACCTATTCGCTTACACGACGATTTTGTGTAACATACACGTATATCCAATATATTGCGTTGCTTTCACGTGAATATCGTATGAAACGGTCCATATCCAATCAGCTTGAGTAACAATTTTTGAAAACAATGAAGTTGCATGGGTCCATGTGCTTCTTGGTCCGAGAGTGTTAAAATATTTAAAAGTTTATATTTAAAAATTACAATCAAGTGAAAACTGTAATGAAAAAACTCATTACCGAGAACAATTTTACAAATTTTATTTTTACTATATTATTATACTAATTCATACTATATTATCATCCATAATATTATATATATTGGATATTGTTTTATATAAAAACAATACTATACGTTTGATTAAAATATTGAATATTAACTTTAACATGTTTATTTAAATGAACTGTATACGTTTATTTTCATTTAACACTGTAATAAAGATCACTATTGTGTCCAGATCCGACTAGTACGAGTTCGTTCAAGAGACCGATTATGATACAAATAATAATATGCAGATAATAACATGCTCATTAAAATTTACATAAATAGAATAAATTATACGTGATAGTATATAATATAATACCTGCACAACGATGGAAATATATTATACTTATTAAGTAGTTTTACATCATATTACTAAACTTTAATGTAAGCACAGAGTTTTTTCACATATTTATGAAAACACAAACAAATTTGTCTTATTATTTATTTAATGAAGTTTTTCGGCGGTAGAGTTTTCAACTTACACGATGCACAGCGTTCTAAAGTTTCGTCTAAAAACTAAAACAATATACTTCTTTCTCAGTGTATAATATCAATTTTTGAGCGAGTAAGGAAGAGAAAATTATTCCAAATATACATTTAAATTTCATATTGAAAAAACAAAAAGTAGATTACTTATATGAGTAAAAATTCAATGTAATATTCAGTTTTAATTATGAGAAATATTATTTCATGCGTTTACACATTATATTGCATATATAAACAAACGTGCTTTGTAATTTAAAACATAACACCAAAGCATACAGTCAACTTTTGAATGATACCTATATAAATATATTCATCGGAGTGGTTGATTTTAAAAATATAATTATCTTTAAAAAGAAAAAACACATACCTACGAATTATACAAATACCGTACACGTTATAATAATGTGCAGGTACGTACAATGCGTCTTATTATATTAGTTAGTTTCTTGGCACTTGGAAAGGTTTTGTGATTTTGGAAAAATTATTCTCATATAATTTCAAACCCATTATTATATACAACAGGATTTAGAAGGCGTTTGATTTTTCATAAATGGTAATCGTGGAATTTACAGTTATTGTTATTTTTATTTGAAAAAAAAAATATTAAGAAAATCGACGAATTATTTCAGTTTCTAATGTGAGTAGTGAGGTGAATGAACATTTTATCGCGGATTTAAAATTTTGAATGTACTCACCGAAAAAGAAACGTAATTAAAATATTATATGATATACATGTCTTATTTCTCTAAGGATATAACGATTGATCTTGATAATGTATTATAATCAATTAATGTCATCATCATGAATATTGATATTTTCTATAAATAAAAATTGTTTTACTTTTCGTACCTTTTAAATACTTTCATATACATATAGTTGTTATTATTATTGATGATTTTAATTTGATACTAAAAATGAATTCGATATGCTTTAAGAACAATAATATTCTTACATAATGGTAAACCTATACGGTTTCCTTGTATACTTATTACATTATGTATTATCTAGTGTACATGCACGTTTACCGTTCGCCATTGTCAAGTGATTCGTACAATCGTACATTTTATTACTTTATCTTATCCATGAAAATTGGCACTCATGTAAATCTCAATGATACCGTCTTTTGTTAGTTCAAGTCAAATCACTGAGTGAGTTTCGATCATGGTATCGAACCGTGACCGCGACGACTTATTTTGTAAAACTTCAGTTGTCCGTACACGTTTTGGAAACCGTTTGGATTGCCGTACGATATATTCCATCAATCGGGCGGAGAAAATCACGTTTTTGGGTCTTAACAATTTCCCATGGTCGCAAAATATATTCATCACATTATATAGCGACACCAAACATGGATCCCCATGTATCGAACGCGCAAAATGTCCCGCCACCACCGCCGTACAGCGAAACTCCGACTATTTATCCTTCGAATACACCATCTTTTAATGATTACACTACCATGCAACAGCAGCACATTGTTCCTGCATATATAATCGTATCAAGTATGTACTTAAATTATTATACACTATTAGTTTAAAAAAATGTCTGTGGGATTAAATATAAATAATGCGTTTATATAGTAATATAAAATCATATTGCCGTATGAACCAGTGTTTTCCGATCTAGTTGACGTCCATTACCCCCCCCCCCCCATCGAGAAATGTGTGATTTTTTAATGCTTATAATTAGTACGTAATTTGTATGAATTTGTACAACCATTTTACCACTTTTATTAATTAGCAAAGTGTTATATTAATAAAATAAAAAATATTTTCAGAAGAATTCTGTATGTTTAAAATTTCTTACATCAATATATTCATAATTGTATTATTATTATTTATACAAAGGCATATTGCAAACACACTATTTCTATTTTAAACTTATATTTGTTAGATAACAATGGCGTGGGATAAAAATAGTAATTAATTTTATTTTCTTAAGAAATATCCGATAATATGTATTTTACTCGTATTTATAATATACTTGTATATTACATATAATATTATATAAACTAAATAGATAAATCCTGTCCGTTAGCAATATTCACCTGAGTATTATTTGAAGAAATCTGACAAATCTGCAAAGGGGCACAAAATTGTACATAAGTCATATTTTTATCCTACAATTAAATCGAAATTTTTCTATTATACTTTTTGAAATATGTAGATGTTGCCTATTTGTACCGACTAAATTTGAATTTAATGATGAAAGTATGAAAATATTAATATATACAATACATACATAACAAGAGCATTTAAATAAAAAACTTCATATGAAGAAATTATCGATGAATTCGCTAGTAATAAAGTGAGAAAAGCAAATTTTAAAAGTTTAAACACTATAATAATTACTTATAAATTAAAAATTGTAACATCAAATTTTAATTGGTTAAAAAGCGTTTTTTTTTTCTAAGTTTGCCAGAGGCGCTAGTGAGTCTTTCTACGCCACTACCCGTGTGTAAGTAAAATGAATGCCCTCAACCGTATCCGGACTCTACAGGGAAACCGTACCGTATTTGTAACCAAACCATTTTAAATTTCGAATTTTTCTTGCTTTCTACATATTTTTAAAATATTAGCATTGGGCCCTATTATAAGGTCATGGGCCCGTGTGTTTGACACACACAACATACCCAGTTATTGCGGCACTGGCCGTGTTAGCAAAAATGCAATACATTTATTCGTGCATAGTGATCGTCATAATGTAAAAAAACTATAGGATTACAAGAAGAGTATATACAAGACATTTGTCAGATTTCTTCAAATAATACTCAGGTGAATATTGCTAACGAACAGGATTTATCTATTTAGTTTATATAATATTATATGTAATATACAAGTATATTATAAATACGAGTAAAATACATATTATCGGATGTTTCTTGAGAAAATAAAAATAATTACTATTTTTATCCCACGCCATTGTTATCTAACAAATATAAGTTTAAAATAGAAATAGTGGGGGCAGGGTAATGGACGTATCTAGTTGGAGTAGTGTGTGAAGCTTGTGTGCGTATAAAATTCTGAGGAGGCGCAAGCAATTATATCACAAACTACATTTTTTAAAACGAAAAATGAATGAAGTTAGATTTTTTCTATACAACTGTCTATTAAAATTAAATAATTAAATATAAAAATATAATATCTTCATTTTAACACATTAAAACCAAAAAACCAATTAATTTTTTTAAAATTTAAATCTTGTCATGTCCGTCCATCTTTTAGTTATCAGTTCATAGTTACAATTGTTGATTATTTAATTATATTCATCTTAGACAGTATTGAAAAATATTAGTATTTACTATAGATGTATAATAATCAATATTAAAAATAGGGTACTATATAAAAAAAAAAATATATAATTTTATTTTTTAATCGAGATATAAAATGTATTCGAGTTCTACGTATAAGCATATATGATAGTTACCAAATCCACTTTAAATCGTAAATGGAATCAAAGTTAATGTTGTATAAAATTCGTTTAGAAAACGGGACTTTGGAACGTTCACATAGTGGGCTTTCTTAACTATTGTTATGTTCCTATAATTGCGTTTTTCGAAGAAAAAGATGAAGAAAAACGTCCAACACGTTGTACAACACATTCTTTTATCAGCATTATTCATGGTAGGATTTATTTTCGTGTAACTCAAGGAACTGAAAATTAAAATTTCCAATTGGAAGGATTGATAAATATCTCGAGGAACGGATATTGAATTATTCAAACAGCTGTAGGTAATGAATTACCGCAATAGAAATATTGAATAGTTAACAGAGCGTTAATATTATATTATCACGTTCAGGAATCAATACGGCAGCACTGACATGCCGTAAACTTTCTGATAAGACTGTATCAATCAAAAAATATCGATTACCCTAGAAACGCGCAGATCGTGCTCTCTATTTAGTCACTAAGACCGCATGTAAGTGCGTAACTAAATACAATGTGTAGTGTAGTTTTGCACTTGCAGTTCAACAAATGGAAAATCGTATGAAACTTTTACATAGTAATGAATGTTTTGAAACTCGAACATTAGGCTTAAAATTTACTCCAATAATTGATTACTCAGTGTCCTTATGGCATTTTCAGAGTTTCGATGTTTTTGACCTATCCGTTTCCGTCTATATGTTTATATATGTATATATATTTCGCTGTGCATCAGGAATTATGGCACTCGAGTACGCGATGATCGACGAACATAAAGCTCGTATATTTAGCGGGCAAGCATTTCGCATTCAACAGCCTTTCAATTTTCTTATCCTACATACTCCTTACTTGGTCCGAACATAATATAAACCGATCATAAAGTGATTTTTTTTTCGGCCAAAAATTATCTCACCCTTTCCGTTGACATTGTTTTCTCGTTTAACATTTCGGGACGTTTACTTATAGATACTTCAAACATCGCACTCGTATATATAATTTTTATAAATCAATTTATGTACCATCAAACCTTATCTAAAGAACAGTACCGAAAATGATTCGCTCCTTAAAAAAATGTGTGTTTCTTTGAAAATGTAGACTCTAAATTTTGGAGGAACAATCGTACCATAAAATAATGAATATCGATTAATGAAGCAAATTGGGTAAGAATACGCGTTATGAAGGATTCATTTAAGTTGCAAAATTGTAGTAATTCCAATCTATGGAAAGTGTATGTATTGAAAACTCGTAATTTTATTAATTATTTCTTATATGTATTACAGATCCATCTTTGGGTCCAGAGCCGACACAATTGATATGTCCGGTATGCCGTCAACAAATCCTCACTCAGATCAATAAAACACCGACCAACGAAGCGTATTTATGTAGCATGCTAGCATTTGTTTTGGGGTATGTGTTGTAATAATATACCTTATATATATAAATACGCTTATTGTAATATCATTTTTATATTAATCAATCATTCGTTTTGTGTGGTCATTCGTAGTTTTTAACAATATTTTAACTCAACCGTCGACTATTGCTATAAACAGATCGCGCAATCGTAATAATATTTATTATTCGGATGGATTTCAACTCGAATAAGTTTTTTACGTAATTAAATACAATAATTTGTTTTTTAATGATTGAGTAAACACTCAAGTACCGTGACCTTACACGCATATGCGTTTCTCATTAATTGTACATTTATGAAGTCTTTATAAGTTGGAGTACAATTTTCTTCGTTAATTCTCTGCCAGTTAACTGAAAATAGTTATATGAGTGGTTATGCGTATTATGTATTTGGTTCCGAAGTTATACAATATTTTAATATGTCGATATGCACCGTTAGTGGCGTAAATTGGATCCAATTTCTACTGGTGCAGAGACATATTCTCAACTTATAATTTCCAACACACCAATTTTCCAATTTCCTTAGTAAAATTCTTCCCAAATAACTATCCTGTATATTTTTCCATATACATCTTTAAATAACAAATAAATTTTGAATTATTTTAGCAGTAAAACCTTTATTATTATAATATTGATAAAAAAAAACAATCAAATTTTGTTTTTAATATGCTAATTTCCTTGGCTCTTGAAAATAATATTATAGGTAATTTTAATATTAGGTAAACAAATTTCCATAATTTTCTGGTGGTGTAAAAACACATCTTTGTACCACCACATTTTAGATGTAGTGTTGCAAGTGTCACATTTGCATCACTCAATTTACGCCACTGTGCACCGTATGTATCATAAATTTATCAACTTATGTACTGCACACTCTTACTGTTAATATTACAAGTGCAGCTTTTCTATTAAATTTCGATACCGTTGAAAATTATACGTGACCCAGTGATTAAAGTGAATTGTGAAATGTGTAAAGTGAGAGGTGTAGATGTCATTTATAAACTTGTAACTTTTTTATTTTTGATAAAAATTTTTAAAGTCAATATTGAATGGTTAATTTTAATTATAAAATTAACTTATTGGAAGTATTATCGTATCTGAAAGGCTCCAAATACTTTTTGCACTATAGTAAAAATCCGGGCAATTAATATTTTATTAAATATTATTTGCAAATTTTCGGGCATTGTTACAATTATTATTTCGATTTACTATGGATAAGATAATATAAGTTGGCAAATTATTTAAACACAATAAGAAAAAATTCCTAGAAATATAATCGCTTTATTTTTTAATGTAATAGTTTATAGATACAAGTGATTCATAATTTATCCGTGTTTTTTATTCGTGTACTTAGATTATTTTAAACTACGTATAAAATATTTACTAAGTAAAGAATGTATTTATTTTATAATGACAGTTTATTTTTATGCTCAAGACATGTTATAAGAATCATTTGGTAAATTGTTTTCTAAAAGATTTAAAGTAATACATATTTTTGTCTTGCCGATTTCAATATTTCATTTTGAGTATAAAATACTGCATTCAATCATGTTCAATACAAAAAGGAAATTATTTTACGATTAATTGTGAATTGGGATCATAAATTAATATATTAAGTAGTTAATTCGACTATATTCAATCATCTATCAAAAAACCGACAAAACAATTGGATTTCTACAGAATAGTAGACTTATGTACACATTACAGTAGGTTTAATAATATTGTTGTGAGAGTTTAAAGCACCATAAGCTTAAACTTTCGATTGGAAAACTTAAGATAATGTAGAATTACTTAAGTCTGTTATATCAAACACTTCGTATGTTTTAATACATACCGGGCTTCATGCAATTGCAATGATCATACTATTGTTCGTTGAGTGCGTATTCAGTACTTGGTAAAAAAACTAAGCGAAAGTTATTCAATGATCAGTCGATAAATAACTAATCATTCAACACACATAATACGTAATTAATAATTAATTATCATCATTAATACGTGTTATTAATCATGATATATGTTATGCTTAGATGATTTTCGTAATATTTTTTATGAGAATCTGTCAGCTCTACGCTGTATGTATGTCACATATATGATGTTACATAATTTAGTACTCGAATAATATTTATATACCGACGTGACAATAGATATTGTAATAATTAACATATTTACATAAATATGTGGTGTTTAATTTTAAAAATTAAATTTAAAATCATCAATTATTATTATTGTATTTCTTATTGTATTTATCACCACGATTACAATTTAAATCATCAGCATAGTATAATGCAGTGGTCTTCAACCTTTTCGACCCGCCACTCATTTTTCTTATCATACATTTTTCGCGACCCATGTCAACTTCGTTAATTATGAAAACCAAATAAAAGAGTTAAAATTGCTTGATGTATGTTATGGTAGAAGTGCTTTTATAACTGAATAAATTAATAAATATACATTTTTCTAGGTATATAGGTAATATTTAATTTTTATTATAAGTATTGATACAAAAAAAATGATGTAATGATATCGAAAAAAATATATGTTATAATACATATAATTGAAATTAAAATTGGTGTAAAATTAAGATTTACAAATAATATTTGTGATACTTAAGAATTTAATAATTTTCAGAGTTTGGCTAATAAAATTGACAATAACAATGTGTGTTTCAGGTGTGCGTTTTTTTCGTGTTTACCGTTCTGTATGGAATCTTGCCGAAAAGTCACACATACTTGTCCGATGTGTTCGTCTCACATCGGTACGTATGTCCCGTGAAAACGACAAGAAACAACAGAACGTGCTTTAAGAAAACAGTTGTGAAGATGTATTTTTGTACATTATGTTAAAACTATTTGAAAGAACATTAAATATAATAGTAAGCGGATGTACGAATTTTTATTAACAACAAACTACGGGTTATTTCGTAGATGAAAAACATCTATTGCGTTTGTAACTCTGTAGAAGCCTTTCACAAACCGACCAATTAAATATAAATGTATGATAACTTAAACTGTTGATTGATGATAAATCAATAATAATATTGTATTTGTATTTTGTATTCCATATTGTAATGCAATATATAACAACCGTACTATCTTGTTTCATGTTGTAGTCAACACATACTCGTATAGACTGTAAGTGCTGCAAATCTATGACAATCGATTGACTTATACTATAGTTTGTTCTTGGCTATAACTAAACCATCTCAAAAGTATTTTACTGTTATAATATTATAATGTTTGATTTGTACAGATATTTTTATTACAAACACGTCCAGCTCATTTATAAACTATTTGACAGTAAATTTTTATAGAGAAATACAAAAAAAAAAAAAAAAAAAAA